CACAGAGACACTGAAGGGGGGGGGGCGGGAAATAAAATAAAAAAATCGCGTCGTCATTCCTGCAGGTGCGGGCACTTCCTCTTCTCTGCTTTCCCTGGGTGCCGAGTGTGCCGGCCTGGGTCGGGGTCCCGGGCGGTGGCCGAGCTGGGCGCTGTGCGGGGCTGTGGGGAGCTGAGGCCTGGCCAGCACTGGAACCGGGCATCCTCCGTCTGATGGCTTTTTTCTCTTAATTCCCGCCCCGCAAGCCCTGCCAAGCTTCTCTGCCTACCTTACGTAGCACCCTGTCTCTCTCGGTTACACTAGTCCTGCTCCCGAATGCCGTTTGGCGCCCGTGCAAACAAACTGTGCCGGCTTGGCTTGAGGCCTCAGGATGCTGGTCCTTGGGTCGAACGTGCTTTGCTTTGCTCCGCGTTTTGGGAGGAGCGTCGCTTCTTGCATGTTAAAACTGCTTGAGATGTTAAACCTACTTCTGATAAAAGGTGAGGGCTGTGTGCATTAAATCACACAAATATTTGAGACTTGGTATTGCAAAACCAGCAACTGTTTCCCAATTTATCTTTTATTTTTTGCTTATTGCACCAACTGAATGGTAAACTTTTCCTCAGCCACCTTTGAGTTGATAGCACCGTTTTCTCAGACTGCAGTGACAGCATTCCTTCTCAGGAAAGGTCACACACAAGTACCAGTTTTGCTAAATGTACTGGTTATGTTTTCTCTATAAAGTTCTATTACAAGTTTGAGATGCAGAAATTACGTTTATCTTTAGACGCCTTGGGAGATTAGATGTCAAGTGGATATTTGGAGCTCTGCTAAATCAGGGAGGATGAAGTTTAAAATTTAATTTTAAGGCTAGATAGGAGACAGTTCAGTGTTGCAGTGCTGTAGAAATATCTGTATTTGAAATTTTGGACTCAGGCTGTCCTGAGAGAGGTAAAATGCAGTAGAAAATGGTCATTAGTTCACAGGCTATGAAAGATGTAGGCAGAGAAAGGAAAACTCATTTGTATTGTCTAAAGAAAGAAACTTACAAGAAACGTTCTGCAGCTTTAAGAGATGAAGGCCCTCAAGTTTGGTTTGTTTGGTTTTTTTTTTCCTTTTTTGGTACTAGAAGAAAGAATATATTAACACTTGTACTTTAATTTAAAAACATGAAGGTATTTGTAAATATCTGATGTTTGGGTAGATGACTTCTCAAAGCACACTTACAGATTCTCGTCATAAGGCTAGAGATACTGCCTTTGTCTAGATATCTTGTATTCAACATACAGGTTAGTCACTGGAGTGAAAAAAAAAATATAATTTGAGAACAAATCAAGGAATTCTATCCAACTAAAAATATTTTTTTTGTAATTGACTTATCAGTGTCTTCCAGACACTGGAAGTGTCCACAAGAATTAGACAAGTAGAATCTCATCCCTGCCGTAGAAACTTCTGTTTCCAAGTAAGAAAATAAATCTAATGTTCTAGAGTTCATCCGAAGGCCTGTGAGCAACTCGAATGAAAGATGGAGTACAAGAAGTGAGCTGCTTGTTTTACCTGTGGTATCTTCTGAACTGTCAGGTAGAGTCACGTAGGCCACCCCTGCCTTTCTTTTTTGTGCCACAGAGTTGAGCTCAGTTGCATAAAACGTAACCAGTGCCTGGTATATTTATCCGCAGAGACAATTTGGTGAGGCAGTTTGTTTATGCATGCAAACACACCCCACCCCCCTGTTTAATAAACGTAGCGTAATACCCTGTATTTACACAAGCCCGATGTTCAGTTGTATGGCCCTGGATGCCTTGTTGCCTTCTGAAGTTTGACATCGTTCCAAACATCTGTGCTGAATGGATGAGTTCATGTTACCTTGGAAAACCTCCTGGGAAAAGTCAAACTGCAATAACTTCTTTACCTCTGAGGGCTTTTTTTTTTTTTTTTTTTTTTAATGATTTGGGGCTTATCCAAAAATCCCTCCTGATTCCTAAGGAGTAGTGCTTAGCAATGATGCGGAGGGTGACTGGGGATTGTCATGTGCAGGTTAATACTATGGGTAGTTGTAGGAGTTAATTTACTGATTTTCAGCAAACCTGTGTAGTTTAGCTATGTTCCACGTGCTTTGCAAAAGAGAGGAAAACAACTGACTAAAATACCCCAGTGGTGGTAAGGGCAGCCTTCAGAGCACTGACTTTGTCTATTTATCACCATTTGACCCCCCTCAGCCACGAGGGAAGGAGCTCAGCCCTAGAGTGAAGTACAACATCCTTTTTAGTAAGCGAATAAGGATTCTTCGTGTCAGGTTAGTTGTTAAATCTGAGGCGAGGCAATGCCGTTAAAACGAGTTGCTTCTCTGGTGAACATAGTCCTGTGCGTTTGTCTCTGGCATATGGATTGTAACTCTGATTCAGTCATGATTTCTGTAGCTAGAAAACACTCAGTATATTTCAAGTGCCATTATTCCCTGTTGGGCAAACAGAATGTGTGGTTATGTAAAGGAATTTCTCATAAAATTTTAAAAGAGGCATTAAAAAAAGAAGTTAGTAAGAAAATGCTGTGAACAGTCATGTTAAAACCCAGTTGCATGTAGTTAATCTTGTGATAGTGACTTCCCACTGTTGATTGTAGGTGACAAAGTAAATAGACTTTGCATCATCTGGCATTTGGGACTTTGCATTCAAGCTTCTTTGCTTTAATCTGCTGAGAATGATTTATAATTAAGTTATTGCTCTCATTTAATAGTTAGATCTATGTTGCACCAGATTACTTACTTTACAATGTCACAGAGGTACATGTAAAGCTTGTAGATTAGATTCTTGCCGAAGTCTTTGGGAGAGGTTTGAGTTCAGCACTGCCAAGTGTTGATGAGCTACTCTTTTTCAGTTTATTTTAATCCTCTGCGGTTAGTGTATAAAGTTTAAAAACTTACTGATTCATGGAAAGCTAGAAGGCAAAAATATCACAGGTGAACTTCAGGTTAATTCTAAAATAAGTAGGCACTTGCGATGGGAAAATGCATAGCATTCTGTCCTGTAGAGGCCCTTCTTCTGTACACTTTTCATCCTCATCTGAGAGCAGATCCAAAAAAGGAGTTGTCTTTGCAGCAGTGAACTTCCAGTACTTGCCCTGACTGAAATTCAGAACCGTCTGTTAGGTACATGGGCTGCTTGCGAAGTTCGTGGAGGTAAGGAGGGCTTCAGAAGAGGAGCAGCCTGCAAACAGAGCACTTCATGTGCAGCTAGTCATTGAGGATACTCCAGAACCAGGAACGGATCTTGCATGTTTAATGTAAAACACAGAAACAGCTGTGAACTTGAGTGTTGGCCTGCTTCTGAAGTGAGCGTGCTGGCTGCTTTGCTTCTGGACCCAGGGATCCTGGATTACTCACTGCTGTTGTGCGTGGCTTCGGCATTCAAAGGTAATGCGAGTCAGAGGATCATAGGAAGCCTGTTAAGTGTGGCTGGTGTTTCTTTTCTCATGCTGTACAGTGCTTCATTCATTTTGTCGTCTCTGGGGTAGCACAGATTTTAAACTGTATACACAGACACACACAGACACACACAGACACACACAGACACACACACGCTGCGGATATGTTTTCTCTAGGTTATAAATGTGTATTTAACCCCTGCAGCATGATAGCACAAGGTGTTGTCTTGCACTGGTTTTGAAGACTGTAGGCATTTCTTTAAGGATTATGTGGAATTATTCAGTGTGTTCTACTTCAGCAGCAGCAATGTGGGTGTTACCAGCCAGCCATGGTTGGCACAGTTGTAGGCATCTAGCCTTCCAAACTGTTTTTTTTTGTTTTGTTTGTTTTCCCCCTGTGCCTAGCAGTAGCAGGTTTATCGGACAGTGCTTCCAGCTTTTTTAATTTCTGCTGTGTATTTTTCAACTCCTGTGTGAAGTTAAGCTGTTTACACTTTTACTAAATTTCTTCAGCATCTCTTTATGCATAATTTATTTTTACAGATGCATTTAAGCCCATCGCTTTGTTAGGGAAAGGTCTCCTCCCTCTCTGCACGCTGGAGTTGAGAGGTTTTGGCATTGTACGAGGTTCCAGATCATCTTAGCTTCCTCTCTCTGGAAAGCTTTGCTTGCCTTTTTTTTTTTTTTTTTCCCCCTCCGCTTCCCAGTTTGACTTGTTACACTGGTTTATTCTCCTTCCATTTGTTTTTGTTTCCTGTTTCTACTTTCCCATGCAGTATTTTGTTAACAAAACTCTTGGCTTAGTGTTGAGTAGATTGTGTTCTCCCTATGCTAGCTTTTGCCTTCCTGTCACAGCTATTTTGAGTTTAAGTACTTGTTAACACCCTTACCTAAGGATGAAGTAAAACGCAATGGAGCGAGCTGATGTACTAACGTGCTGTTGCCAGGCAGGAGATGTTCTGTTTCTTCTGCAATCCCCTTCCTACATCTCCCATCTCTGAACTTGCCCTGCTCGCTTTTTCTCTGGCACTCAGCAGATTGGCTTCCACACTGATCCAGCTCACTGCTCGCAGAACAAACCCAGCTGCATGAGGGAGTTAAATCAGCTCAGCAGGAGGTCCACAGAGTTCAAGGTGGCTACACAGGATCATGTGGTAGAGAACGGGTGAAAAAGCAAGACCTTTGGTGTCACTGAGCTGTTAGATTGGCTTGTATAACTTCATAGTTGACAATATATAGTGGTTAGATACAATACATGGTTATCAGGGATAGTTACAATATTTCTACCCTGCAAAACTGCTCAGCATGCCATGACTGTGATCCATCTGTGTCCTTTATAACTAGCTATTTGGTATGAAGAAGTGAGTTATCAAATTTCTTTCCAGGTGAATAGAAGTTAAATGAAAACGTAGAAATCCGCTGCCCAAGCACTTTTAGGTCCTGTTTCTTCGGTTGGCGTGAAATGACAATCAGACAGTTCGAAAAAGGCAAGTCAGGGCATGTACAGCCCTTTGGGAGCAAGATAAGCCATCTACCTGAGCGACATAGTTGAAATGGAGAGGGAGAAGTAAACAAAATTTAACTTCTGAAATTGTGCAAATGAATGAAGGGGAAGGGAAGTGGACTTGTGAGCCAGGAGAGCCTGCAATTTTGTCTTTTAGTTAGACAGCACTGACAGGGAGCGAACGCTTAGTAGTTGGGGAAGGACAGTCACTGGCATGTGTGGTTTTCAGGCTTGGAGTGAAAATATGCCTGATAAAGCAGGAGTGGTTGAGAAAATTTCATATGAACTTGATGTACTTCCTTACTTTATTGTAAGTAGATTTTATTTGTGTGTGGTTACTTCTGCTCTTGCTAAAACCCATTCTTAGCCCAGTTTAACTATGTATGTATTTTGGCTGCTTTGTCTGGACTGCCCAAGAGTAGGGAATTTGGACATGTTTGTTCAAAAATTCTGTATTGGTTTTTTCCTTGTAGATAGACAATAGCTGCTTGTATATTAGCAGGTGCTGACAATTTCTGTTGTCCATATTCAAGACTGTTCCTACAGAGAGGAGGAGTATCCCGGTATCCTGGAGGGAGTACTGATCTGGTAGTTTATGGAAAAATTAAAGGCTTTTAGAAATTGTTTCTAAAATTAAGGCTAATCCTACTTCTATATATGAATCTATATTCATTTACTTTTAGTGCTTTGAAAGGTGCAAATGCAGCTTTTCTCTGCCTCTGCAGAGAATTTTACAAATGAGTATGTATTTTTTACATTTTAGACGACTTTTTTTCTTGACAGTATGAAGTAAATACTTCATTTTTACCACTGTCAGCTAATAGTAAATATTGTGTGTGTACATACAAGTATATAAACATAAACTATAAATATGCCAGCACGCATGTGTGTGTGTATGTATATAGTGCATATTTATATATCATTATGCACATATATAACATGTATATATATATGTATGTATACTAATCAAAATAAATGACGTTTTACTGCACTAATTATTAATTTTTTTGTTCCAGTCTTAAGTTTGTTTTATCCCTTGCCAGTTAACATCTTCATTGTCTCGGCAGAGTTCAAGTAAGTGTCAACTTAAATACATTTTGCTTTATCAATACATACATCTAATTTAGCTACACATGGAGTCAGAAAAATGGGATAATTATTTGGCGTGTACCAAATATTTGTTCACTGAATGCATGAATACTTAAATAGTCAGCAGCATTGCAGTATGCTATAAATCAGATAAGTCACTGTAATACTTGGAGAATGTTACCTTGTGGATTGTGTATTTCTTGTAATTTGTGATTAACAGCAGACTGATCAAAAGTTGAGTATTTTTGAGAAATAGACAGTGTGGGCTGGGCAGGAGCATGACCAGCCACACATCATGATGGTTAATGTAAAGGCATTGATTTGCTATTATTTTTCAAGTTCTTCAGCATTATTTCGTCAAGCTATTTTTAAACTGAGTGTGTAACTTCATGAATGACTGGCATAGCAATGTGCTTGCATCTAACCAGACTTCCTTTTAATGGTCTTAGTCAGGAATTTCTGAAAGGACACTGTATGTGCCGTGCTGTCAGTGCTATTATTTGAAAATTTCTTTTTTTCCCGTTAGAATCCCTTGCCATTTGTGTTAAATATAACCATATGAAATACTGTGTTTGGAATGCTGATGGTATAGAGGTGAATGAGTAACTTCTTAAAATGGATTTTAGCTCTTAAACTACAGCCCAGTTACATTCTGGTGTGGGAGGGAAACTGCAGCAAAACCAGTCTGAACTGGGAGAGCAGACTTAAGTAAACTGCTAGGGGTGTTGGTTTTCTTGTGCTTTTTGGAGATACTCAGATACAGGAAGTGAGTAAAAGGCTTTGAACATGTACCATATGTGGGCTGTTGTTTTCTGAGTGTCTTCTGGTGTTTAGGAATATGCTAAAAATAGTATCTATGCAACCGAAGTGACTTTCACTTTGCAAGTAAAAAGTTTTTCTATTACGACATCAAAATGCATGTGTTTCTCCTGTTAAATGGTTTATGCAGAGCAACAGGAAAAAAATACGGTT